ACTGCACGCGCAGGTAAATCCACACGTTTTTTTTTTCATCTAATTAGATAATTAAGTAAACGATAATTTTGCCATGCCGTATGAACCTACCAAATCGTTATATAGACTATACATAGTTTCTAGTTTAAATGTAATTTATACTTGCTCAGTGAAGTCTTAAGTTGATTTAACTACCTCCCAATGGTTAATTGTTGGTTTGCTCTTAAATAAACCTGCGAAATGTACCATAGTAACCGTAGTTTGCGCAAAACAGTTCTATACTTAATATGTAGAATCAAAATAAATTGTGAGACCTTCAAACAGTGTAAGAAGCTTTGAAAATGTTTCTGTTACTTAGCTTAACTATGGTATTTTGACGGAAACTATGGCTGCAATTGTATCGTTTTTTTGTTTGTTTTTTGTTGTGAGGGAGACTGTAGACATTGCAAAAAACTAATCTGATGAACTATAAGAGCAACTGTGTCATTCACACTGGATTCTAGAGAGTCACTTGGTTCTGTGTCTGTGTGCAGAGATACAAGACACGCAGATGGGCTCTTCACAAGCGGATACAGTAAACTTCTAGGACAGTTATCTGCCAGACGGTACCTGGAGTCATTGATCGGAAAGCGGGTCAGGTACATGAATCTTTTTTAGTGCCTTTTCCATAACATGATCCATAGCCCTGCTGAAACCAGTTTAAAGAACTCCTTCTAAACCATTAAACCAGACCTGAACAGCTTGAAGGCGAGCTAAAACCAACTCCGACTATTTTAAGATCAGAGCTTCTAATGGAGATAGATTGATTAATTGAAATTGGTATGTTTTGGTAATCATTCAATATAATCAGAGATTTTAGGCGCAAAGAAAGTTTGTCGTCTCCTGTAAGTGGTGTGCTTTTGCAGCTATAACACTGGATTGCAGTAAATAAAGTAAATCTGTATTTGCATAATGGTGTAAATATTTATCCATAAACAAATTCTCAAAATGGCCATAGGATTGCATGCCATATAATCCTATTACGAATGGTCGGACAAATGAATAAAGATACATGTGAAATGTTTAGTTGGTGATCTCACGTATCAGAATGAAATGACAGTTTGAATTATCATTGAATATCATTCCTCCTTGTGCTTGCTTTGCATCTAAAATCTGTAATTATACTGAAAGATTACCAAAACATGAATGCAATCACACCAATAGATAGATAAATAGATAGTAAGGTACACTCTTAAAAATAAAGGAGCTTCAAAAGGTTCTTCAAGCGATGCCATAGAAGAACCATTTTTGGTTCCACAAAGAACCATTCAGTCAAAGGTTCTTTAAAGAACCATCTCTTTCTTACCTTTTTGTAATCTGAAGAACCTTCTTTCGCCACAAAGAACCTTTTGTGAAACAGAAATGTTAAAGGTTCTTTATGGAACCATTTAGACAAAAAGGTTCTTCTATGGCATCGTGAAGCACCTTTATTTTTAAGAGTGTAAATGCATGAATGTAAACTGTGAATTCATGTCTGACATATTTCTTTATGCGATTTTAGTGATGATTTGATGGAAGACCAGGCGCCGATGAAGCGTCATTCAGACGCAATATTCACAGACAACTACAGCCGCTTTCGCAAGCAGATGGCGGTGAAGAAATATCTCAACTCCGTTCTCACAGGGAAGAGAAGGTATTAAGCACCAGCACGTTGTTGCTTTCGTAGGTTTTACCAAACGTTTTACTCAAAGATGTTGCTAATACTCTAAACCAAAGAACGTGTTCTATGATGTTAAGCAATAAAAAGGGTATTTTACTAGTGTTTTTCCTCTCTTCAGTCAAGAAGACCCACCTAGCATGCAGGAGGAATCGACTGGAGGGGAGACCACATATCGGGAGAGCTACGATGACGTCACTGTAGACCGACTTCTGAATCATATACCATTGGTACGTTAGATGGAGACGTGCATATGGCTTCGTATGAATAAAAGTGCTTGCAAACTGGTGAATAAAGTTCATTTAAATGCTGATCTTTTCTCTTCTAGCCTCTCTGAGGTCAGTTTGAAGACAAGAAAACAACTCTCCGAGACCATCATCATAGGTTTTCCATTTACACAGTCTAGTATAGGACATCAGCATACTACTAAAAGAACGTGTTGAAAACGAATATTGTGGTTACCTATGACGTTGATGTTTGCACTGTACATAGAAAATAAACTTTGATGAGAGATGTTAGCTTGAAGATGTACATAGTGTTCTTTGGCCTTGGAAACCAATTTGCTTTGACATGTTTCCTGTAAATTGTAGATCAATAAATGCATTGAAACAAGCCCCGGACTGGTACAATAAGAGAAGCGCATATTCGGACCTGAAGACTGCTGATTGGATCTCGAGTGATGAAGTAACACTGTCGCCGTGCATTTTGTAAATTAATTATTTTATACAAATATTTATGTTTCTTCTGTCTGAATTCTAACTCTAGAGGGATCATTTGGGTTCGGGAGGGTCGGGGCATTGGAAATCTTTATTTTTGCCATTCAAAGGATAATAAAAGTTTGAAGAGTCATGAAATGCTTGACTGCGCTCGACTTCAATGTTGCGAAGCAAACTTTAGCCATGAACTGCAATTGATTTATGGTCAGGTTTTGAGTCTCAATTATATTTCTGTGACTTGAAAATACACATAAATTGGACTATACAAGTGCAGAGAAAGACACATATAACATTCAAGATTGCATAGCACCCATTTCTTTACAAAAATATGGTAAATTTACAGTACAAACAGTCGGTTTAATGATGTACGAGTGTCAAGGGATGATGCGGTTATGATGCAATATGTCGACGTATACAGAAGGGATTGTCTGCTCTCCATTGAGATGCGAATCAAACAGCATAAGGTGTGTGATTGAAAACACATCACGTTTCGTGAGTGTTACGCCCTTATTTTGAGAACTTCCGAAGGAAACGGTCATTAGTATTAGCTGGCCTGTGACTCAGTGTATCAATGTTGAAGGCAGCTATGGAAATTTGAATCATAAATGTCAGAGGATATGGAATGCCAGAGAAGGCGTTATATAAGACGTCATGCACTAAGATAGGACTCTGGTTGCCAAAATTAGGCTTGTCTGTCAAATTACATTTATTTTGAGTCATCCTTTGGCCTGGAAAAATAGTTTGGTTTGCACCAATTCAACTATAACTGATATAAATATCTGAAAGAGACGGATGAGCGGTCAAGGTTCAAAAATAAGGATGGTCTGTTGCCAGTTTGAGAACGTTTTGTGCTGATCAGTCAGCTGTGTTGTCACTAAATATGATGTTTGTTTATTATGTGCACAATAAACTGCAAGCTATTTTATTAAGGTTGCATTATAATGGAAAAATATAGATTTTCTAGTTATTATTGGAAATACAAACCTTTTTACAAATATGTATTTAAAAAATAATTAATTATAAAAAGCCAATAAATTATGAGTTTTTAAAAAACATTTTTAAAACAATTTAATATTATTTTAATTAATTAGGTAAATTATTTTGGTAAAGATGTTAAACATAAACGTAAATTAAAAAATATAAGATACATATACATTTTAAAAAGATTGTTATTTTTGTAAAATAAAAAGTTGTATTATTTATTTTGAATTTTTCTTAAATATGATTGGTTGTAAAACAACTTTAAAAAAAACAACTAAATACATTTAAAATGATTTAGGTAAATAATTTTTGGTTGTAAAGCGTAGAGTAGTTTTAAATGATGTAAATCGCAGTTTTAAATGGAAAATATATTTTTTAAAAGTAAGATAATTTGTTTATTTTTGTAAAAAAAAACGTAATGATTTATTATAAATATCTCATAAATGACTGGTTGTAAGAAAATAATATAATAAGTGTCCACTGAAGGTGAGCGTTGTGAGAACCCAAGTGCAGTTTTATTATATCCCAAAATTGAGCAGATAAACAAGAAACACAGGGCATGGCTTGATAGGCAAAACAAGAACATAGATATGGACAGAACTCACCAACAGTTATTACAGGCAACAAAGCTAGACAATGGGCAATGAAACGTGAGGGCTATATATATCAAACAAATGGGGTAGCATGGCACCATCTAACCAATGACAGAGATGAGCTGAGGAACAAGAAGCAAACAGAAGTCAGAACAAAAAACTACATGACAAAACAATAAACCAATGAAAGCATGACACATGAAGGAACAGGGAATCACATGACTAACAGAGGACATGACTGTGGCCTAAACTACAAAATAAAAGACATGAAAACATGAACATAAACCTACAATCAAAACCAACCATGACATATCCCCCCCTCTAAGGGCGGCTCTTGACGCCCTAACAAACCACCCAGTACAAACAAAGAGTCCAGGATGGTGGAGGACTGGAGGTGGTCCAGGGGGTGGGATGGAGGGCCAGGCCCGTGCAGGGGAACTGGACCTGGATCATGACATGGCAGACCTGGTCCGTGAAGCAGTGGCGGACCTGGACCATGGAGCAGAGGTGGGTCTGGACCATGTATTAGTAGAGGACCTGGTCCGTGGAGCAGTGGCGGAGACCATGGTGGAACCAGCAGAGCAGGAAGCCAGGGCGGAGCCAAAGACTACCAGGGTGGAGCAGGCGGAGCTGAAGACCACACCAGGGCAGAGCAGGCGGAACTGAAGACCACCAGGGCGGAGCAGGCAAGGCTGAAGACCACCAGGACGGAACAGGCAGAGCTGAAGAGCACCAGGGCGGAGCAGGCGTAACTGAAGGCCACCAGGGCGGAGCAGGCAGGACTGAAGACCACCAGGGCGGAGCAGGCAGGGCTGAAGACCACCAGGGCGGAGCAGGCAGAGCTGAAGACCACCAGGGCGGAGCAGGCAGGGCTGAAGACCACCAGGGCAGAGCAGACAGGGCTGAGGATCCCCACGATGGAGCAGATGACCACCAGGGTGGAGTCAGCAGAGCAGGAAGCCAGGGCTGAGCAGGTGCCCAAGGTGAATTCTGCGGAGCAGAAGACCACCACAGGCAGAATATCCTTGAGCGGCTTCAGTGGCCATAGCATGACTGGCAGAGAGTTTGTGAACAGCCACCATAGCCACGACATGACAGGCAGATTTCAAATCCTTGAAAGGCCGCGGTGGCTGTAGCATAACAGGCAAGGGGTCCAGGGATGACCTCCTTGGCCATGACTGGACAGGCAGAGAGTTCAGAGACGGCCTCTTTGGCTGTGACATGACTGGCAGAAGGTTCACGTGTGACCACCATGGTCAAAACAGGACAAACAGGAAACTCACAGGCTGGCACCAACACAGGACTGAGTTCTGGGAATTGAGCAGGCTCTGGAGCAGATTCATGGACTGGAGCAGGCTCTGGAGTCCAATGAAGGCGAGCGTTGTGAGAACCCAAGTGCAGTTTTATTATATCCCAAAAGTGAGCAGATAAACAATAAACACTGACTTGACTTGACTTGACATGGACAGAACTCGCCAACAGCAGTTACAGGCAACAGAGCTAGACAATGAACAATAAAACATGAGGGATATGTATATCAAACAAATGGGATCAAATGGCACAATCCAACCAACGAGAGAGATGACCTAAAGAACAAGAAGCAAACAGAAGGCAGAAAAAAAAACACATGACAAAACAATAAACCAATGAAAGCATGACACATGAAGGAACAGGGAATCACAGAGGACATGACTGTGGCAAACGACAAAATAAAAAACATGAAAACAAGAACATAAACCAACACCCAAAACCAACCATGACAAATAAAAACAAAATTGAAATATATATTTTGAAATTATTTAGGTAAATTATTTTTTGATAATGGTGTAAATCAACATTTTAAATGAAAAATATAAAAACAACAACAAAAAAAGATATTTAAAAAAGGTTAGAAATTTGAAAGGAGTTCAGGCTAGTGCAAACCTTTGATTCTTAATAGGATGTTTGAAGCCTAATAGTAAAGAATATAGGTTATGGTCAGTGAGTGCCTGTTCTTTTGATTGGTTTGGCAGGTTGTTAGTGCTCTAGTGCTCTACTTGGCTGAGGTAACTGAAGAGGCTGTTATGTGTTCTTCTGTGACTGTGCTTCTTTTAATGCATGTGTCCTTTTAGCTCATGGTTTGTAATCCTTGTGGCAGCTGCACATCCCGTCTTCCTGGAAAAGCTAGAAATCAAGCTGAATGGAACAATAACAAACAATCTGAGAAAATATGCACTAAATGTTTTGTGTGTGCTCTTGATTTGTCATATTGGGTTTATATAATTAAAGCAGTAAGTAGGAGGAAATGCAAAAACAAAGATGACAAATCGAAAATCACTCATGCACCTAAAAGTTGTATTTGCATAATGTGCAAAATATATACAGTATATATATATATATATATATATGTTAGTGCGATGAGTGTTCATTTATCCATGTTTAATGGCTCATATAGTGTGATATAGGAGAAAATGGAGCTCATATTCAAGGAGGAAAAAACACATCAATTTTATTCAGAGGCCCAAACTGAGCAAAAATATGCAACTTGGTGCAGATTCTGATATTTATGTCCAAAAATTAAGATGAAATTCTGAGCTTGTAATGTAAATCAATGAGATCTTTAAAACAGTACAGCAGATACTTACAGAAAATGATATAAGTATCAGTTGTCACTCTATATCTCCCAAGTCTAATAAGATGATATTTAAATGCTTAGTTTTATGATCAAAGCTCTGCAGTTACAAAACATATAATAGAATGCAATACAATGATAATTGAGAGATGAACAAGTAAACATTCCTCAAAAGATGGATGATCATATTTGATACTCACGTTTGAATATGATTTTTCAAAAAATGATGTATGGATAATCAAGTAAACCTAAGTTGCTTTGGTCCAGTAAGTGTTCATCTTCAAATATTACTAACAGAATAAAAGTTATTCTTCCGTTTACTTTATAAAATTCAGTAAAGATTTCACAGCAAAAAGACACGTGAGCCACAAGCTGGACAAGGTCTTTTACTTGCTAAAAAAAGTCTAAACTATCAATCAGATGACAGAAGGCATGTAGTAGATTGTGTGCAACAGGTTTTCAGCAAAGTTTTAATCATGCTGGAAATTTAGAGGCCTTAGAAATTCATGTATCAAATATGATTTACAGGGATAACACTGCTAAATACAATGATCAGACGTTTTGACAAAATACTAATTTCTTGGTCTTTTCTCGATCTGATTCCGTAGAACAACAGGTATGATGTAAGGACTCTGGTGACCAGGCTTAATCTTTGGCTATTGAATTGTTGTGGTGCAAATCAGATGCTATGTGATTTGTCCAGGGCCGTGTGGAGAGGAGCAGCTCATTAGCTCTCATTACCAGATGGCCAAATGGGCCTGCTGACCACAGCAGGTAAAAATAGATGGATAGACTCTACACTGACCAGCTCCGCTCTGATAATGGGTGCATTACCACTTAAAGTGATTCAGCGTAGAAATGGCTGGCCAGGAACTACTTGTTTTGAGCATTAGTGAGCATGTGTGTGTGTTTGTGCATTGCACTCTTTCCAACATGGACACATTTGTAATCAGTTGTGGTACTCTGAGAATTCAGAGAATACCATGGTAGTACTATAGGATCATTTCCAATAAATAAGTAAGTAAATAGATTACATTTTGTTGAGAACATTTATATATGTACATACTCCAAGGTTCAATCATGGCACATTTCCATGTTTATGTTTTTGAAAGAAGTCTCTTATTTTGATCGAAAATACAGAATTTTTTTTGAAAAATTGTGAAATATGATTGCAATTTAAAATTGCTGTTTTCTTTTTGAATATATTTTAAAATGTCAGGCAAAGCTGAATTTTCAGCATCATTACTTTAACCTTCGGTGTCACACGATCCTTCAGAAATCGTGAAAATATGTTGATTTGCTACTCAAGAAACGTTTTTATTAATAATTTTGAAAACAATTGTGCTGCTTCATATTTTTTGTGGAAACTGTGAAACATTTCTTTCAGGATAGTTTGACGAATAGAAAGCTGAAAAGAACAGCTTTTATTTTAAATAGAAATCTTTTGCAATATAAATGTGTTTACTGTAACTTTTGATCAATTAAATGCATCCTTTTTGATAAATAAAAGTATGAATTTATTTAAAAATTAAAATAAATATAATTAAACTAACCTAATTTTCAAGGTTCGAATAGAGCACGATTTGTGTTTCTCCATTTAGATGAGAGCAGTTGCTTAGAAAAAAATTTGAGGTTTAATCGTTTGTTATCATGCACAAAAACCAATCTTAACAGAATTATCCATCCACGCAAGACCGCCAATAGCTATATTAATCCCTGCATGTTCTGCGAATCATTTTATGCTAATACGCACACGTTATGGGGGAGGAAAAGGACTGTAGGGATGAAATGTACACTAGTGCAGTGGTTCCCAACCCTGGTCCTGGAGGCACCCCGACACATGTTGCATGTCTCCTTTCTCTGGCGCACCAATTTCAGGTCTTGGAGTCTCTGCTAACGAACTGATGACCTGAATCAGGTGTGTTTGATTAAGGAGACATGCAAAACGTGCAGTGTTGGGGTGCCTCCAGGACCAGGGTTGGGAACCATTGCGCTAGTGGATCACAACAATAAAGGACAAACAACATCTGATATGGAAATTACTCTTAATAACCCACTTCAACATCTGTCCTGTGCGCTTCTAACGTGTTCCTGCTGAATCTCTGGTGAACGTGACTGAGTGTGAGCAGCAGAGCGGATCGGCTGTCTTGGGGCCGGTGGCGGTGCTGGTTGAAGACCATCGCAGTGACAGGAGTCGACCTTTAGACCCCTGATGTACGGTCGTGTGACTGATGCCAGTCATTCATAATAAACATCACACATGCCCCTCGTTTCACAGGGAATGGCTTGAATGGGACACGTGTCTTTTTAAGAAAGCTGAAGGGCTGAAGAGAGATCTTAAAGTCATACACTGTAAAAAGTGGCAACCTGCAAGTGTTACCCTAAAGAGCTACTGCAAAATAATGTATTTAGTTGATTCAGTGATGTTAAATAGTATTTTTACTAAATGGTGTAGAAACAATTTTCACTTAAAAATTCCTAGTAAATTTTACAATTAATTACAATCAAGCAAGTAAAACATTTAATTAAACATGACATTTTGAAGTAGAAAGAATAATAGGTTTAATTCCTTGTAAAACATACTGCAAAAATCTTGGTTTTATTTAAAAAAAGAAAAAAGAAAAGAAAAAGTAAAACATTTTTCTGTCATTATAGTGAATTACCATAACTGTAGAGGCAGCACTATTGATTTATTTACAAATATTAATAATAAAGAAAATAAGAACTGACCAAGTAATATACACTCCAAGAATATTTAGGCCTAAATCTGAGATTTATATGTCTGAATCGCATTTAAAATTGCAGTTTTAACATTATAAACTTAATATGAATCATATTTTTCAATTGTGCATGAATGAAACAGGAAAGATTTCTAATCATTCAAATTTTTTCAAATACACAGTAACCAGGTTTATATATTTATCATCAATAAATCTAATTTGTTTCAATCTCATACATATTGCTTGTATAAATATTGAATTATTTGTATTGAATACTGAATATTGCTTATTCTTCAATAATAAGCAATAATAAGTGATATTTTACCATTTTCATACTTTTTACCAGAACATATGTCATTGTTTTCACAATCAACAGATTTATGCTCATTCTAAGCCATTTGAACAAATGCATTTTGAAAATATTATTTAAATAAAATCAAATGGATGCAAATAATGTTAATAATAAACTATGCTATTGTTTTTCTGAGTACAGAAATCGTACCCGTTTCATTTATGTATGACTGATAAATATGCATCACCGTAAGTTTATTAGTTTATTTTAAAACGGTGTAATCCAAATGAATGGACATTTATAGGCAATTCAAATGCATAAATCTTATCTTTTTACTAGATTTTCTAATCTTTTTTTTATTTTATTATTATTATTTATTTATTTATTTTTTGAGTGTGGTAAATTAGCCTAACAGTACAATTTTTATGGCTACAAAACATGAATATAGAATGTGCAATCAATCCCATGCATGCATTTATCAGCATTTAGTGAGTCAGAACTATCCATTTTATAAGACCGATTTCATAATAATGTATTCTTTAGTGCCAGTAACCTAGTTCACATATTTTCAGTGAACCCACATGCCCTTAACTCAAATTTAAACCCAGATGTGACTAAAATAATGTTCAAATATCACCCACACGCACACTCAGAGCAGTTTGCATCAAAGGTTAATCACAGCGGATAGCGTCCAACAGAAAAATTAGATTTGTATTCCCAAGCAGAATGACTCATAATAAGTGATATGTTTTGTGTGTGTGTGCATGTGTGTTTCAGTGTAAACACCTGTTTTGCTCTCCGTATCCTCGGCTGATTTGGAGCTTCATTTGTACAGACCGTGGTTTAATAAATCAAAATGGAAATACAATAATATACGGGCGCAGAGCTTTTCTCGTCCAGAAAGGTCAGCTCTGAGATTAATTATACTGTGAGGAAGACCTTAATGATGGAATATTTCTCAACGACACAACCCTGCTTTTATGATCCCAATCCTAATTCACTCCAAATCTGTCCTTTTACAATTGCACATGCAGGCTTATATTTTTGTCTTTTTACATGCAGCAACTACAACCCCAATGGTGAAATATTCATTTGCAAATGAAGGAATAAATGTAATGAGGAATCCGGAAGTGACATTTAAAGGAATCATTCACCCAAAAATGAAATTGTACTCACCCTCAGGCTATCCAAGATATAGATGAGTTAGTTTCTTCATCAGAACAGATTTGGAGAACTGTAGCATTGCATCACTAGCTCACCAATGGATGCTCTGCAGTGAATGGGTGCCGTCAGAATGAGACTCCAAACAGCTGATAACAACATCACAATAATCCACACCACTCCAGTCCATCAATTAATGACTGGTGACTTGTGACGACTTTTTCACTGGATAAAGCAATATTATACTGTACATAGAGGATTCATATTTCAGTCTGAAGCAACAATTTGAAGTTTAAAACATCTTAATAATGGATTTGTTTATAACAAACATGCAGCTTTTCACTTCTAAAGAGGTTAAAATATGTGGGTGCTGATTTTGATGTTAGAGGACAACAGGGGATGTACTTTTTCACTGGGGGAAACGTTAATATGGATTATATTTTAGCAGGAAGCAACGGTTTGAATTTTAAAAAGCCTTAATGATGGATTTGTTTCTTACAAACATGCAGCTTTTCACTTCACAAGACATTAACTGATGGACTGGAGTGGTGTGGATTACTTGAAGATTATTGTGATGTTTTTATCAGCTGTTTGGACTCTCATTCTGACGGTACCCATTCACTGCAGAGCATCCATTGGTGAGCAAGTGACATAATGCTACATTTCTCCAAATCTGTTCTGATGAAGAAACAAACTCATCTGCATCTTGGATGGCTTGGGGGTGAGTACATTTTCAGCAAATTTTTACTTTTGGGTGATCTATTCCTTATATAGCCATAGCCATATTCAGCCTTTTCTCCTGAGGGGAGTTATGGGAAATGACCGCTTGTCTCTGGGACAGTGACAGCATCATCAACAACACACTTATATTTCAGCTTTAGAATGAAAAGACAAACAGGTCCTGTCTTGTCCAGTTCTCTGTCAAAATGTACATTTGCATTTATTCATTTAGCAGATGCTTTTATCCACAGCGACATTCAAATGAGGGAAAACAAGTCATTTATCATAAATTTCAAGAGTAATTCAAAAAAGCATCAAAGTGAAGCCACAGAAGAGAGGAAAGGATATTTTAATGGAAAAACTGCCTTTATTTGTGGTTATGAATTAGTTGAATGCACAGAAAGGATTGATAAAACAAACCTGCTTTAAATGCTTAAAAACTTTAATGCCTTTCTTTTGCAGTTGTTAGCTTCTGTGAGTTTTTAAAAAGTCTTTAAATTTAACCCAGTTTCCTGTCAATTATTTCATTTTCACACTAACAAAAAGCACCACATGTTTTTTTGACATGGTCGACTGTATATTAAAGTACCATAGTAATACCATCTGACTCCATCATTGTACCATGGTGTTATTTTAGTATCGAGATACTACTGTAACTTTTTAAATATATAATATTATTTTGAAATTATTATTATTATCATTAGTGGTCGACCGATATTTGGCTTTTTTTTTTTTTTTAAATATCGGCATCGGCCGATAAGTTTTCCTGTTTGGCTAATGCGTTCGAGGTGGGACTTTTATTTTGATGGCGCTGAGAGCGGCAGTGCCTGAGCACACAGTGCTCACAATTCTCCCGCTTGTTCGCTGTTGCCGTTAACAGTTCCGTCTTATACGGACAGAAATCTGTCTAATAATCAGAACGGTTAAACAAAGGAATTAAAATGTATACAAAAAGTATTAGAACGATTGCGTTTATTTTATTAGTAATAGAAAGGCAAACATTATAATACTTTCTTGTTTGCCATCAGCATTCAGCAAATACACATTTATATCATTTAAACAAATCTTTGAATGACTAATGAACATTTAATTT